TCTTCTAACTCACGGTCATCAGTACCTGAAAATGGGAGAGGTGCTCTTGAAAGAGCATCAGGCACTAGAAGCTGCTTTCCAGGAATATAGGTAATTGAAAAATCATATCTCATGAGACGCAATCGAATTCTTTGAATTCTTGGAGACAATTCATCAAGATGTTTGGATTTCAAAATTTGAAGTAGTGGTTTGTGATCTGTGTGTATTGTTATTCTCTTGCCAATAATAAATTCTTGAAACTTTTCACATGCCCAAGCAACAGCTGTAGCCTCCCTCTCTCCCTCTCGATGTTTGCATAGTTTTTTTTCAGAAGGAAGAAGACTTCGGGATGCAAATGAGACTGGTCGTATGGAACCATCATCTTGAACTTGAGAAAGAGTTGATCCTAGCCCTTGAAGGGAGGCATCACAGGAGATAATTGTTTCCCGATTTACATCGTAAATGGCTAGGCAAGGAGAGTTAGTCAAAATGAGTTTTATTTCATCAAATGCCTTTGCCTGCTCTGGACCCCATATCCATGGAACGTTAGCTTGAAGTAATGAATTCATTGGGGCCAAAATCTTTGCTTTTTCAGGAATAAACTTACCAAGAAAGTTTACCATCCCATTAAACCTTTGAAGTTCTTTTAAGTTTTTTGGGCAGTCCATTTTGAGAATGGCGGAAACCTTTTCCTTATCAACAGAAATTCCATCGGATGAGAGGAAATGCCCGAGGAATTTAATACTTGACTTCCCAAACTCAGTTTTGTCTTTGTTAAGTGTCATTCCTACATTTTTAAGTTTTTCAAGCACTTGCCGAACAACTGTATCATGTTCTTCTTTCGTTTTGCCCCAAATCAGAATATCGTCCATATGGACGGCAACATTTGACTGGTTGTCTAAGATTTTGTTCATGCATTTCTGAAAATGTTCAGGTGCTGATGTGATTCGAAATGGAAGTTTGAGAAATTTAAAACGTCCAAAAGGGGTAAGAAAAGTAGTTAGATCCTGGGATTTTGCATTTAAGGGGACTTGCCAAAAACCACTGTTTGCATCAAGTTTTGAAAACCATTTTGCTCCTGAGATTGAGCTGAGAGACGTTTCAATTTTGGGAATTGGATGATAAGACCGCTGGATAGATTCATTCAACTTTGTTAAGTCAACACATATGCGGACATCTCCATTAGATTTAGGCACTACTACCATTGCTGAGCACCATTCAGTAGCATGCTCAACTGGTGTGATTACATTATTTTGTACCATACTTTCTAGTTCTTTTTTCACTCGACACATTAGGGGTAAAGGTACTGTCCTAGGAGTGGTTATTGCGTATGGCTTTGCGCCATCCTTAAGAGCTATTGTGTAGGGATCAGGAATGACGCCCAGCCCACTAAACATTTCATGGTATTCGGTAAAAAAGTCACTGTCTACCTCTGCAACTGAATTAACAAAAGTTAAAATTTTCAAGTCCTGTATTGCTGGACGACCAAGCAAGGGTGTTATGAGTCCCTTCACTACGTATACCATGTGATTTATTTTAATATCTCTGTATTGGATATTAGCTCTAATACAACCTACAGTTTCTAATTTTGTTCTACCAGCCCCATACAACTCAACTAGAGTCGGCTGGATCCTACTTGGATCAACTATGCCAGGGGGAATTACTGTTACATCTGCCCCTGAATCAATTTTAAATGTTTGTGGTTTTCCCTCAAATACTAATAATTCTAGTTTCCATGGCTTACATTTCGACCCATCCCCAAGTGTACCTATGAATACTTTATTATTTGAAGGTTCAAGTTCACTTACTTCATTTTCGTCAGTTACTTCCTGTGCTTCTTTAGATCTGCAGACCTTCGAAAAGTGACCAATCTTTTTGCACAAGTTACATGTTGCACTTTTTGCTGGACATGTGCTTCTTGGATGGGACGGTTTATAACCACACCAGATGCATTGTGCTGGGTATTCTCGTTTCTTTTGACGAAACCTATCTCCTTGATTTTGGTTTGAACTCGATGACGTAGTTGCTTCAATTTGAACTCTTTTCTCATCACATAAATTTGTCTTCTCTTTCTTTACGTTATCTGCATGTCGTATTACTGTAATGGCCTTGTCTAAATTCATCTCGGGATCTAGCAACAAGCGATCACTAAGTTTCTCATCATTTAAACCCAGTATTAGTACCATCAACACCATTTCATCATTAAGTGAACCCCAGTCACAGGTCCTAGCCAAGGAATGGAGACTAACTATAAACTCTTCAACTGTTTCGTTAGTTTTTTGTTGTCTCTTCAAAAACTTTGCTCTTTCGAAAATTAAGTTCCTACGTGGAATAAAATGTTTGTCAAATAAATCTAAGGCTTCTTCAAATGTTAGCGTTGATTCGGTTGCTAAATTGAAAGATGCAAAAATCTCATCAGCTTTCTCACCTAATGTGTATATCAGAGTGTTGATTTGTTTGTTCTCAGACTCTTCAGATAACCCAGATGCTGAACGATATCTTTGAAATCGAGTTTTCCATCTTGGCCAATCTGCTGGTACAAAGGAGAAACTAGCTGGATGTTGAATAACTGAATGAGTGTTTGATACAATGATTGACTTCTTAGTTGAATTGTTGTATTCATTTTCTCTGCTTCTTTCATTTTGTTCTTGTTCATTTTCATTATCTTCATAGTCAGATTGTTTCCTTCTTGGATTTCTCTTTTGAGGCATAGCTCTAAACCGCTGCCACCATGTACTATTTTACTAAGAATTAAGTGGATGCACTGTTTTATGTCATAACTCAAACTCAACTAACTTTATTTACCTTTTTACAAACATAGAATAACAAATAAACATATGATTATAATTAATAGAAATTAACAGGTGTTATGAAATAAACTGTTCTCACAACAAATACTATGATAATTGTAGGTTATTATGAATATTTGACAATCTTTGCTGTGCAAGTATGGACTTGTACAACAGCTGTGGAAGAATATTTTAAAGATAATTTATACTAAACCAGGAAAAAACCACTCTACAAAAAATACTTATTACTTAACTTCATTTTACGGACCTTTACGGTCTACGTGCTCACAATAGTATATTTCCTACCTAGGGCTGAAAATGAGGTTTTGCCGGCTCGCGATAGTTAAAATTATCGAGAGCTGCAAAACTATTTTGGTCCGTGGTACGAACGCTATTTTTCACCACACGATACCCTATTACCACAATTCCCCACAATAATAATGCACACTGATAGTCAACACAACTACAACTTTAAGGTTATGTGAAGAAATAATTGGAGGAATCAGTAAAATAATAAATAGTTGCTAGGCAGCGGTGACAATAAAATAATTCTATTGCAATGCTATTGATACTAATTGTGTATTTAATATGCACTCATGTTTTAAGAAAGTAAGCGGGCAGCTGATTTTGCGGCCCTAGGGATGTAAAAACCTGCTCGGTCCCCAAATGACGATGACAGCTCGCATATCCAGCAAAACTTTCAGCCACCTATTAACGTATGTAAAACAGCTAAAAACATCATAGTGTAGGGAAAAAAATATTTAAAGGACAATTTTGATTTAGATTTTTAAACAAGATGAAATGCACAAATAAATAATAAAACAACTCTTGGAGCCCGCAAAGCTTATAAGCCCAGATCGCAACATAAATAACATATTAGCCATAAAATTATGGTAGAGACTTCAATGGGAATTATTAAAATCGAAATGAATCAAGTGTCCTGACAAAACGTTTGTTGTGAATCACAGCGAATGCCTTGCATCTCTTGTACATTTACAGCTTGGAAGTAAACAAACACAAACACGGTTTAGAGCTTGGTACAGCTTCCACTCAGCAACACAAACCGTTTCTGCTCATGAATAACTAAACCATTTTGGAATTCATTTCTGTTTACGGTCTTATGTGTGTTGTGACGTGTTAGCTCAACTACCAAAGGATTTGTGAATCTGTTGATTGAAGCTGTAAAAGTATTTGTATTTGATCAATTTTCTTGTGTAGATTTTTAGCGGCTTTACTTCATACAGAATAATTTCAATTAACAAAAGATTCAAATTAAAAAGTTTTAAGTTAAGAAAAGTACAGACAATTCGTTAGTTATTCTATTTACACGATAGTTTTTTTTACAAATATTTATAATCAAATTTATCTACACCATACATGTTTATGTAAAAATCATAACACTGGAATACTGAGCAGTTATTCCATAAAATATTTTAGTAGCCTAATGGTGTGTCCTGTTCGTTTTGTTCGCTTTCATGAAACAGTGAGGTGTTACTTTTAATAAAGCAAATGTTAATTTTATGTCCCTCGTCAAACTTGGATACATGATTCTTTTAGGAGAAAATATTTATATTTTATGAACGTTATTTTCATGTATTTAGTGTCCGTGAAACACTAACTCTACAGAAAGGCGATGTAGAAACAAAAAATAAACGATAGCTCAAAAACTACATTTTACACATCCATTCATTTATTACATGTAATGTACATATTTTATTTTTAAAAAGGTACATATCATTTAAGTTGTTTCCTTAACAATAATTTTAATAAGTTATTTTCATATATCATGTGTAATAAAATTTAATCTGTTATAAAAACTCCACACTTTAGTAGGTTTATGATAATAGCATTTAGTCAAATACATGATTGTTTTAAAATGAACTAAAGAGGATTTAATGCTAATGAATATTACACTGCTTTTAGTCGTCTCAATTTGCATTTACCTTCATTTCTGAAAAATGTTAACGGTTTTGATAAAAAGGTTTTACTTTTTTTGTGTTATAAAAAAAATCGGGTACCCATGTTTGTAATTTAATTTACGATATGTTTTCAAAAACTTTAGAAATATATAAAGAATTATATATCGTCAATAGTGCCTTAAGTGACTACCTTTTACTGTCATACTTGGTTTAAAACTACATCTTTCATGAATAGTGTTGTAAAGTATTAGATTGTGTACAAAAATTTAGCATTCTTTTTAATTTTATATAAAAATCGTATGAATTGTTTCAGACTGGTGCTGGTTTTGAACCTGTTCCATCTGGGATCCCCTCAGACCACGGTGTCTACACCTTCAATCACATCGTATCCTTCAGAGGTGAGTTGCAACCTTTTAAAGGATTAAGGATTTCAAAGGACATCAACAAATAATACTCAATACAACTCTAAAAATCAACATTACTAAGCTTCATTCTAAAATTAGGCCTTACTACTTTGAATTTGAAATATAGGAAATTAAATGTACATGTTAAAGTAGATGCAATTAGGAATGCAAAAAACGATATTATGCGTTTAGTATAGGCCATCAACGTAGTCTTCTTGGCTATTTAATATGATTATTTCTTCAGCGTGATTATTAACGTCGCGTTTGGACTACGACCATATATTATCAGGTGAGAAAATACAATGAATACGTAATAAATAATATTTTTAATCTATGTCCTCTGACAGCCGCAAAGGAAACTTCTGTGAATAATCTTACTTACCGAACGTTACGTCGAAGTAAATATCCTTAATTGTCGCTTATGTTTAGGTTAAGATACACCAAAACGCCGGACTAAGTAGATTTGTAGTATTATAAAACGGTAAAATGGTAGGCCTTCCATATAGCTTTCCCAATGTTCATTCCAACAAGGGTTAACTCATTGAGGGTTACTTTGAAAACCTCGTTCTGAAGTACAAAACACATTGAAATACACTTAATATATACTTGTACGTTATCAACCCCAGGTAAGAAAGAAACACGACATTTATGAAGCTCTATTCAAGTTCAAGTTTCAGGACAACAGGTACCAATTGGAAAATGCGTGTGCTACTAAAATTGGGAAATTGGTCATATCGATCACATATCTGTTAGATTTAACTAACTTCTAAATAATGACTTTTCAAGACACATTCTAATATATCACATACTAAATGCTATGTAGCCTACTTTCACACACAAAGACGGTGATATTTACAAACAGTTTACAGGGGTCTTTGAACCCCGATGTAGATAAACCTTTACATTATCTGTGACGTGTACGAGCTATCAGACTGTGATGTTTGTACTGCGTCTTGATACAGGTGAAGGAAAACATTTACTTTTGCACCATTTCTCGTTTAACCCTATTTCTTTTACATTGCTATTTATGTATTATTATAATTCTATCTAATATTAGTTTTTGGAAATTAGTAAAACAAACAAATAAACCTAACTATAGTTGTGATTTGAAAATAATTACATTTGTTTTAAAAATGATTTATTTTGTATTGAGATTTTCCCGGATTTATTTAAACTAGTGTACATGTTGCTCAAAATCGAGCAATTGCAAAGCATTACAGGAGTTGCTTGAAAACGACTGACGGTAATAATTATCAATGAGTTTAAAAGATTCAACTCAAACTACTCAATGATTATTTAACTAATGGAATACTCACGATGTTCATAACAGGTTAATGTAATCAACATTTCTTGTAAATATCTTATCATTTTTTAAAGGCTGATCTCGTTTTTAGTGTTTTCTAATAATGTTTCCCATTTACAGCCGCATTAGGTTGTCCATGTTTATCTTCTAGATAATTTACATATTGGACTGTTTACAATTAACATATGTTCTTCTTCTCACTTTTAATTTCTGACAACAGCTGGAGTTTCATAACAATGTTTGTTTCCCATATTAATCTTATGGAGAAATACGAATCTTTAAAGGGCCCCAGGTCCTCACTCTCTAATTGTTTCCATAAAAAGAAATTTTCCTGCACAACTTCACGTTACGCTCTTTCCAATGGCATCAAAAACATGTCAATTTGTTCAGTAGTTTCGGAGGAATAATTGTCACAAAAAACCTGCTTGCGTATTAAATAAGTATAGATAGCAAAGTGTATTTGCATGTACTTGTATAAGAGACTGCGTTTTCTGACAATCTTGGACCTCAGGATGAATTAACCACTCAGAACAAAACAGTTGTTTTCAAGTAAACTACAGTCTGTATCAAAGATAAAATAAACTTGAGAAAAAACATACAAGGTACTTGTCATGTAAGTGGAATTTATATTAAATACTTGCATTACTTAAAATAATGTTTATTGAAATAACTGGAAGTAAATAGTCTAACCTACAGTAATATACAACATCCAATAACTTCTTAACCTAAATAATTATGACTAATACCTAACAATGGGGGCGTTTAATTGTATACCTTAATAAACCATTTCCATTCTATGTAAAACTGTGATATAAAATATAAAATTTTATAAAATATATAGTTATCATCTTCAGTAACAAAGTAAACATATTTCTGTTTTCCTAAGCCCTTAAACTGAATTCGTTTGGCCAAGGAAATGTATAACATGATGAATAATACGATTGAAACGGTAATACATAAATAAGAAATTGTTCTTTATGCACCGACCTCAAGTATTTTTCCATCTCAGCTAAACAAATTGAACATTCCCTATTCAACATTTCAACCGTTATTGACTTTTCCAACAACGCTCTGGGGTGAGTAAACCAATTGTAAATTATGTTTGCATTTCCAGCTCCAATCTTGAGATATGGTCTATCTGAATGAATAGTTTGAGTCAAAAATAGTTGTAGTTTGTCCAGTAAAAAGGTGATAAACCCTTATTAGTTACAGTTGGGTTTGGTTATATTTATATTTTATTTCTTGTTCCTTTACTAATGTGGATTTAACTACTGTATTGAGGTAAGTCAAGTTGGACCAACGTGCACAATTTAAGATATCATAAAGTAATGTTTCATGGTATTTAGTTGAGAGTTTTCTTAGTTCTTGCTTGAAAAACCGATAGTTTTATCAGTAAATGTCCCATACAGGAAATAAGCTTTTAACTAGGTATCATAGTAATACCTAGACCCAGGAGTGATTTAGTTTTTCATTTTGTGGTCCCCAGAAAAAAAAAACATACGTAAAAATTCAATTCGGATTTCGATGGAATTTTGTGAAAACGTGTAAACATACATAACTTTGAATGAGTTCACAAACCAGTATGATCAGAGTATGAGAACGGAGTTTTGATGGGAGTACATGGTGTGGAAAATTGAGTTTTCCCATTTTTCTTTTCAGAAAAACATAAAACTTTGCAATTCTTTAAACAAATTTAGTAAAGGAACAATTAATCTAAAACATTGATTCCTTATTGTACGATAAGTGTTTACGGATGAATGTTCAAAAAACTGTAAATATGAAATTCTTGCGATTTTCTTATGTTGAATAAGTAAATTTTTTATTACATGTTTATGTATAAAATTTGATCAATTTTGGCAAAAGTACTAAAGCTATTAAAATTTCAATATGAAACACACATTATTCTCTTACCTTAAGCAGCCAACATAAGTATCGTTAAAATGAATAATCTTTTAGTAGGTGTTATATTTTACAATTTTAAGGTAATATTTTAGTGAAAATGCAACCCGGTATGGAGATGCTTGGTCTGCAGGTTTGCTGTGGCAGGGATATCTTTTTATTAGGCTAATAGTTGGAGCTACGGCTAGTTTGGGTGATATTCGCAATTGGCAGATTTTAAATATCTTTTTAGATGGTAGAATTTCCCCACCTGAAATTCCTGTACTTACAAATTCCTTTTGTAATAAATTACACTGAGAAAGTTTCCTTGCTTGGTTTTCAGTTACAGGATAAGCGAGAGATGTTCCCATAAAACAACTTCTCCAGTTAACGGGTCCAAGGTTTGTTTGTGTAAGCAGTAGCAGATATTTATGCAGCTTCACGCTCCACTGGAGGATCTGGATTTGTCTGTGCACTGCTTTACACTCTAAACTGTTAGCATAATGTGGCTAAGCACTGCTTTGCTGTTTCCAGAATAATATAAATATTCAAATACCACATTTTTTTTACGCAATTGGCATTATTGAAGTGTTTTAAAATAAGAGAACTGTTAAAACCCTGACGTGGTGATCAAAATTCAACCCTTCGTTTAGTAAAATTTTTTACACTGCTTATATTTAATATCCATATGAAAAAGTGTCTGGGTCCTGATTCGGTCTCGCTTGTATTCGATTTATCGGCCCTTTGAGATGAACGTGAGCTCCTACACTATAGAATAAAACCACCAAACCATAACCAATACCAAAACCATAGTTATATGGTTACCCAGATAACTTTTTAAGCATAACATGACTTTCAGCAATATATCTTTTGTCGATAAGCAATGAAATATTTGGATAAGTCTGAAGTAAAGCACCTAATAATGTAGAAGGAAAATCAGTAGCTAACATTTGTGTATAATACAAATTATAAATTTATAAACATAAAAATCATTGATCGTTCAAATTCACAAACCGTTTTTAACTGATAGAATTACAGTGGTTGTTTGTGATAGTTATGACCCCAGTAGTTTCGGCACCGAGTTGTAGCAGCCTACCCAAAAACGTGAAAGTAGAAAGAGGCTATGTATATTAACTTTAAATAGGAAATTTTCCGTTCCGACACATTATAAGTAGGTACGATGATAGAATTGTTAGTTCCCTAGATTAAAAATATTAAGTAACCCACGTTTTATCACCCATAACTTACATCGCAATCTTCCGCCACAAATCCTGTATTATGAGGAGAGCAGTGTCCCGGTGTACAAAAGAAATGTGAGTGCATGGTTTGCATGATTGGCCGGACGGTTACGGAGGCGCTGATAAAATCCCCTTATAAATAAACCCCAACAGAAAAAAAAAACTTAAAACTGCTAGTAAATTGATGAGACCCTTGCATTGTAGCTACATATTTCAGTTGCTATAATTTCAATCTTTAGTTACATTATCAAATCATACTAAAAATTAATTATTGAGTTATTTTGTCCTTATTTGGTACATATTTTATTTCCCTTAATTAATATTTACCTAATTTCAAGGAATAGTCTCATAGTAAATGTTAATACATATTTTACTTAGATGAATGACATTATTGTATATTCACAATTTAATAGTCATTGTATTGCAGAAATCTTTTTTTCCGCACACGGGCTTAGGCCTATCCGGGAAAATATAATTTTCTTATTAATATGTATCTGTTTATTGCATTGTACAATTTATGGAAATAAAATACTTGACTTTGACTTTTACAAGTCATATGAAGCACTTGAAAGGAA